CCAGGAGAAATACAACTACTTGTGATACTTACCCCAGGAGAAATACAACTACTTGTGATACTTACCCCAGGAGAAATACAACTACTTGTGATACTTACCCCAGGGAAATACAATTACTTGTGAAGGACTTTCCACAGCACTAGAATTTTCAGAATGATCAGACTTTGAGTCTGTAGCTGACATGTCAGCAACACCCTCATCATCGACTTCCTAAGTAAGTAGGATGAAATATTTTACAAGTTAATTCTTCAAGAATGGTCACTAATATAAAAACCTATTCTGATTGGTACTTTAATAAGAATTTCACAAGCCAAATATTTTTCTAGAGAAAATGTTTAATTCTAAGTTTCCATCACTTTCACTTGAATTTTAAACAAGTGTTATCTGCACAAATCAATATCTTCACATATACTTAGCTCAAAAAATTTTATTTACATTAATATGAGATTCTTTTTAATTCATGTAAGTAATCTTCAGGTCCATTTTTTATGCAGTTAACTCTAGTGTGGAAAAACTAATAAATAAAATATCTTTAAAAAAAGTGACGTCTATAATATGTTGTTGCTTATCAGTACTGAACATTACAGAAACAAGTTTTTGTGTAGTAGGTAAGATAAAGACCTACTACCTCTCCAAATGTATATTCCAAACTATCTAAATTCCAAAATTTTAGAGCTACCAGAGGTTTGTCATGTTAATGTAATTACATTATTCACATAAAGAAATAATGCTAGGAACATAATAATAGCTTCAATAAAAATATTCCAATAATTTTCAGCAATAATGTGAAGAAACATGATCAATCAAAAATTCTAGAGGAGGGTTAAGGAAGCGTTATTAAGAATAATGAGGGAATTAAAGAATAGCACAGGGATTATGGAAATGTTATTAAGAATGATGATGGGTTAACAAAATGTTATTAAAAATAAGGAAAGGGGTTAAAGAATAACATGGGGATTAAGGAAATGTTATTAATTATAATGAGGAGGTTAAGAAAATGTTACTAAGAATAATGAGGTGATTAAGTAAATGTTATTAAAATAATGAGAGGTTAAGCAAATGTTATTAAGAATAAAGAGGAAGTTAAAGAAATTATCTTAAGAATGATGAGGTGATTAAAGATATAATGCATGGGGGGGGGGGTAAAGAAGTGTTCATAAGAATAATGAATTATTTAAAAAAACGTTTTCTAACACTGTTTTAAACAGCCCCATAAAAAGAATCAAACATAATACATAGTTTTTGATTTTTTTTCAAACAAAAAGGAGAAAGATCAGTTCATATAAGAATTAAATTAAGTTCAGGAAATCAGAAATATTTACCCTTGTAGTTTTAGTTCAAATAGTAAAATAAAATGTAGTCTGTCTTACATGTTGTCCATTAGCCCCATCAGTTTCCCGGGACCTTTGGAGTGACTGCCTTTTTTTTCTTTCCTTCTGCACCATTTGTTCTGTAAGACAATGCTTTCACTAGAGTAAGGTAGTAACCACTTCCAAATCGAGTTTTTAAAAAAAGCGAAGATCCTGAACACCTAAGTTTTCCCTGTGAGATAACAGCAATACGATCTCCAAGCAAGTCAGCCTCATCCATGTGGTGTGTAGTCAATATAATAGTCCTTCCTAAAGTCAAAGTTTTATTTATATATATATATATATATACCATCCATAATATTCACTACATTTATAAAACTGTAACCTATTAGAAATTAAAAGTTTAGATCAATATTCATGCTGTTCTATTGTTTTAATAACCAATGATGTGTTAATACCATTAACACAATGATGTGTTAATACCATGAAGTTCTTCTCTCTACCACCTTAGGTATGTGTCCCTTAACTTAAATTAATTTCTGTAAACATATTCTGTGTTGTTTTTTTTTCTAAGTTTTAAAAATATTTGTTTATGCATTTATTTCTCTTATATTAGCTACAGAAATAGTGAAAACTCAATAATTTCATATTTTCAGTTTCACAGTGATAACTAAAAAAAAAAGAAAGAGTAGTGCAATATTAATACACTTTGTTCCTTTTAATTAATTAATTAAAGTACCCCTACTACAAACCTGTTTTATATTTCAAAAGCATTTCCCAGATTGATCTTCGAGCATAAGGATCGACTCCTGCTGTGGGTTCATCTAAAATAACTGTTCTAGATCCACCAACAAATGCAACGGCAATGGAGAGTTTTCTCTGCATACCTCCTTCAATACAAAAAAAATGGCTTTGCATTTTAGCATGGAAGCAAGTAAAACTCATCTTTGTCATGATATAAAAGACTGTTTAGTGTAGGTGGTATTAAGTTATTTATTTTGTGAGTTAATATTTTATGATTGTTTAGTGTGGTTTTCTATGATAATAAAGTTAAAAGCAGACAATCGTTGGTAGTTGTGTTTCCAATTCATTGATGTTGAGACTACTGAATGTCGCATGCAAAACATTAACATTGAGAATATACACATTTCTATAAAGTGTGCAGATGATTAAGTGACAAACATATAAATAGAGTGAGATGAGCAGAAACAGCAGACAGACAGAGAAAACGAGAAACCAGGGAACAGGAAGTAGAAGTGCGGCCAAAGAAAAGGTTAGAAAACAAAAGTTAACCATTGTAGGAATGAATAGCCTAACGGTTGATATGTTAAAGCGAGATTAACAGTTTTCTGACACCTTAGGAGAATAATTTGTCTTGTCAAAGGGTGTTCTAAAGCAATTGAACTTGCCTATGTGGACTTTGACAAAAAAACAGAAGATTATTGAAAGTAAGTCTAAATACGAAAAAGCAGACAAGTATTGGAAGTTCAGGATACAACTGCAGTAACTCAACAAGGCAGAGTAAATGAATCATACACAGAATACTAACATGATAGAAATAGAGAAAGGTAGTTCAGCTATATATATATATATATATATATATATATAGTTAGTTATAGTATATCGTACTAGTAGTTTACTTATTAAGTTAAGTTTAGGTTAGTACTACGTTAACGTTTA